TAAGCTATGGTCTGATATTCAATCATTACATAATGTAACCAAATTTCTTGAAGAAACATTGTGTAATTTTATGTCTTTTTTTTTTGGACGTAATAATATGATCGGTTGTTGCACTGAAACACTTATTTCCTCACCCTTCATGTCCTGGCCACTACAGGTGATTTGCGATTGTAGAGAAAAAAACTAAAAAACAGACAACTTATAATTAAATGCAAGGTTGTCACCTCTTTTAAAACACATACTATAATGTTAAAAACACGTGGAAAAGTAATACTTCACTTGATGGCCGCAGCTGTGGAAAACAAGAGTCCATGGGCACCAAACTAAACTAACCTATGAAAATCCTAAAATTATGAAAAGTGTTTTAAAGGTTAATTAAAGCCTTTGAAGGTTTGTTTGGTGCCCATGGACTCTTGTTTTCCACAGCTGCGGCCATCAAGTGAAGTATTACCTGTGGAAATAATGAACGACATCAAACAACTCCGTTAATATTCGTTTATTAGCTGTGGCAAGATTTTTGTTTGATTAGGTAGGTTTGGTTTGGTTATGTTTGGTTTGTTAGGTTCGGTAAGCTTGGTTTGGTTATGTTAGGTTTCAACAGTGCTTTGGAAATTATAATAGTAAAATTTTAGTTTCGGTCATCCCTGTATTTAGATATCCAAACTAGTGTAACTTAACCTAGACACGGAACCCAGGAACTACTGTATATCTAACCTAACCTGGGGAGGAGGTTAAGATCTCCCGGATGACCAAAACTATAATAATACCGTTCAAATTGTTATAGGTTTTTATTTTCGTGTATTTATGTGTATATTACTACAATCTCACCTTCATTTATTGTGCAAAATAGTGAATCTTGTCAAAAACAGGAAAAGAACTTTTTACAAAATTCGCTCGTCCCCCAAAATGGTCATATTTCAGTAAAACACCTGAATACACCTAAATAAAAACCTATTCTCATAACATAAAGAAGCCACAGTCATTAAAGGAAACGAATCGTTACCAACAACTCCTTCTGGCAGTAGAGCTGTTCTCAGAAATTGTCATTATTACTATGGACGCCACTATAAACTACACTTATACCCAGTCAACATAACTATATATAAAATAACGGAGTTTAACTTAGTATTTACCTTTTCATAAAATATCAACGTCACCTAAATTTCCATTTGATGACGAAATAACTCTCAGTAACTACTTGTTGGGATGACAAACTACCCTGGCGGTGGTTGACCAACTCTAACATCACATGTAACAATATTAAAATCAAAATACTAACAATTTACTCACCACTGAAGACAGTAGAGACACAATCTTGAGCCTAAATTACTTCATATGAAAATAAAAATACTAATAACTTTCTCACCACAGAGCAGCCAGCAGCAACACAACCTCCCTACACGGTGTCACTCAGGCAAATGGCCTATATGTGACGTCACGATGATCTGTTTGCGTCAAGAAATATATAGTAAAGAAGTTACACTCGAAGGTTTAAGGGAGGAAGTTGGCGACATTTGGTATCAATTTTAGTTGGTCTATCAGTGATGAGATGGCGAGACTGTTGTCATGTGACGTAGGTGTATCGTCTGTATTATTTACTTTTTGTATATATATGTTCGCGATACTAGAATGCACAATGGCTCTACGTGGATATAAGCCTTGTCCGGTCTTCAAAAACAAAACAAAACCGCTATACAGTAATTAAAATTGTAGGCGTTGTGCCAAGGTCGTCGTCACTGATACTGTAGACAGTGCAGTGAATATGGAGTCGGCTCAAAGACTTTTACCTTCTCCTTTCTCCAGACAACTCGGGCTGCTTTCGTCCCCTCTGCTTCAGCTGCCGGGCTGCTGACGATTCTAGGAGAATTCTATTGCCATCGAGCGAGCTGTGTTAAGCCATAGCACCCATCACCCTTCCACAGAACCTCTGGTTATGGCAAAAATAGTTACTCGTAAAACAGTAATTGTTTTCTATGAACATATTTTGTTAGTTTACTCACCCGTTCTCTATAAGATCTCTGAGGGAGAAACGTTCCTAGAAAAAATAATGTCCCCCAAATGTAAAAATACACAATTTTACGCCGTTTTTTTAGTGGGAAACAATACTTTCTAAGTATTTATCTTAATAGTAATAACATTAATAAAGCAGTACAGTACAATATCAACTTTATTTAGTCCATATTAAAATACATTCTACTTACGGAAAACTGTACAGTAGGTGGACAGTGCTTAGGGTGACATGTTATAAATATTTGCCTCTTCTTTAGTGGTTGGTTAACCATACTCAGCCTAGTAAGGAGAGGGCTAGGGAGATGTGGCTACACTGATGAGTCTAACTTGGTAACATATGTAATTAAAACAGTTTGAAATTTCCATTAATTTATAAGCCTGCACTACAGTACACTGCTTACTGTACGTGTTCAGCAAGGAATGCTCTCAGATGTCTCGTAAAAGTGGGGTTTCTTCCGTACAATGATGCTCTGGATTTTTTTTTTTTTTTTTGTAAAGCAAATTTTCATTAATCGATGTTAAGTAAATCGAAGCACTCCTGTAGTTTGCAGAAATTCAGCAGCAAAAGATATTTCTTCTGCATTTAACAACTTTGCATTTTTATAACCTGTTATACAACACTGTTCAAGTTAAATAAGCTGGTTTTTGATGTGCTATGAACGAGTTTGACCTTCATTGTTCTAGGTGTGTACCGCCATGTACTGTACACATATATTGTTAAATCTCACTTAAATATAGTTTGCGCCAGAAATGCCCTTGAAGAAAAGTATCTTAGAATTTTCCAAACTACTGATTGCAACTATAAAACTCCCGAGATTCGTTTAGGGGCAACAAGTGAAATAATACCTTTTTTTATCTCCATATAATTACACATATCAATATAGAGTTACGTGCATGGCCACTACAGAATAATTATCAATTAATGGCATCAGACCGCTAGTGAACCTTAGTATTGGACTGAGGCAGCTGCTGTACAATGCCTATTATCTTTAAAATCTCTTACTTTGATAGTACAAGATACACCATAGTAACTCCACATTAACAGTTTCCAACACATAAGAGGCCATAATACCCATAAAAGACTCACTGGTTTATTAAACTATATAAACTGAGTTACTGGTATTATAATAAACATACTTAACTGCATCGGCTACTCTCTATTCACAAATAGCGTGTAAAACTCGACGATTTAAATGTGGTCTCCATCACCCGCGTTTGTTTACAAATAATTGGGTCAACCACGTGACTGACGAGATGCGCAGCGGACTTGTTAATATTAATAAACTGATTTAATGGCTTTTATATTATGATAAATTATTTTTGAAAACCTAGGATGTATTTAATCGAGTCACATACTGTATACCCGCACTAGAAATGGTAAAGTGTGTTGGTGGTACAGTGAGCACTGAGCATCTCTCTTGTATATCGTGGGTTCGACTCCCAGCCCTATCCTAGACACAAGTAGGAAGAAGATGTTATCCAGTGTGGCTCTACCAATACAGGTTTCCTCCTGAACTAACACTGGATAATAAAGTTCACAACAAAGTAATAAAAGAAGGGACCAATCGCCTGAGCGGCAACTAAGCTGACAAATGATGACCTAAATCCTAATCAATCAGAGTGCCGTCCTCATATCTGAGGGTTGGCGACCACAGTCCTCCACTTTAAACGTTGTTGGGCTATTTTTACCATCATACAGTATTTTGCACCTCCGAGAATCCAGTATTTAATTTCATTCATCCATTCCAGTCTCTGCCTTTCCCAGCATTCCCATTAATATTTTTGTTATTATCCTTATTTATATGAACAAAGTATGATTTTTTTCTTTTAAATTTCGAGTATTTCTTTTCAAGTTTTTGCTAACTTTAGTGCTTCTTCATTTGCTAGTCAGTCTGTGTAATATATTCTAAAACGCGGAATTCTACATACAATCAACACCTCAACCCGCCAGGATTCGAACGCACGGCCCACGAGCCCATGACTGTGACCGGGGAACGCTACCTCTGGACCACCAGTATCCTGGTAGTCCAGAGGTAGCGTTCCCCGGTCACAATCATGGGCTCGTGGCCCGTGGGCTCGAATCCTGGAGGCTTGAGTTGTTGATTATATATATACACACACACACACACATATATATATATATATATATATATATATATATATATATATATATATATATATATATATATATATATATATATATATGGTGTCACACTTACTTAACATTTTGAGGAAAACTAATATCGTAATTTTTGTAAAATTTCAGTGACGCTGGTGTTGAAACAGACACATGTCCCTTTATTATAAGTGGAGATTCCCAGACTTAATAGTGAACATAAGAGGAAAATAATAAAACAACGAGTTAAGCAATAGGATAACCATGTTTATTTACAAAGGCACTGTACACAGACTTGGAATATTGGCACAGCCCAGATAATGAGTCTAGGCGAGAGTGACGTCAGAGCTAAGCCCCGCCCACTGTCTGGATACAGCTCACAGGGTAATACAAAATAATCTAGGAAGGTATACTGACATCACTGGTGTATGTATATATATATATATATATATATATATATATATATATATATATAAACATATATATATATATATATATATATATATATATATATATATATATATATATATATATATATATATATATATATATATAATATATATATATATATATATATATATATATATATATATATATATATATATATATATATATATATATATATATATATACTGTATCTCAAACAAAGGATATATGTCATAGTATAAAACTGTACACAGGTTTGGCTAAGTGATGCAGGTCTTCCAGGAGTGGTGGTGAAGGATGGCTGTGTCCAGGCAATGGTGTGAGGCCTCAGCCATAACAAACGGGGATAACGGTGAATAATGTTCACAGGCTCCTATACAGAAGATTGTCGTGTGTTTTGTTATATTTCATCTTTAAATTAATGGATTAGGGATCGTGTTGTTTTTACTAAGTTCTTTAACATAATTATATTAAGAAAATTTTGTTTTACAAATTTAATGGCAAAATAATGACTTAACGTCGTACTAAAATTCTCGTTTGTGATGGCTGAGACTGTAAGGTGTTGAGGTTGTCTGTGTAGGATAATTTTTTCATTCCTTTACTTTATAAGAAAAGAAGAAAGGTAGTCAATGTCCTATTGAATGACACTCGCAGAGGTCAGCATTAAGCAGCTCGTTCCGTAACGTCATGATGCCTGTGACGTCACGTTTGTTTACGTGACGTCACGGGTTAGCAGCAGACGTAGCAGAACGGGCCTCTGGGGAGTCACGTTCCTTAAACATACATACATTCACACAATATTATCTTTATGCATGTTTCACAGTGGGAAAAGTTTGATATATAGTAGAAACTTATATATATCCCACTGGAATTAACTGTCTGGTATAATTGCAAAACTTATTTCGCCTACACAAAAACAATATTGGATTTTTTTATAGAAAATATTGAGTTCAAAAAAATTGTGAGACATGTGTTGCAACACTGACGATGGTGTACGTCTGTTTGATTATCAATGTCATAATGAAACTGTGGATAATTTAGACCTTAGAGCAAGCACTAAACGACATAAGCTTAAAATTGTTTTTAAAATCGGATTAAAAAGGCTATTGGTTGATCATATATCTCCATGTTATAAACTACAGCAGTTTACACTCGCTGTACGGGTATAAGATCTGTAAATCGTGGCCATATAATACTTAGTAGAGAGAAGGATATTTTTCTTTAAAAAATACGAATACAAAATATTTACACAGTCTACGATTCATTAAATAAGGTCAAATGAAATCGTTATCTACAAGGTTCATGAAAGAAGGACGTTTTATCACATGGTCCAAGTCGACTGGTGCGCCAGGGCTCTAAAGGTTAATATCTAGAGTACTGGGGAGCTCTTTAAGCCCTTATTGTTCTGGGTCACGTTAGGGACACATTGGCGGGAAGTATCAGAAACACGAAACTTGGTGCCACAACCAAGATCACTCGTGTGGAGTCTATCCGGCCAGGCCTGACCCTCCCTACTCTGGGGGGAATTTGAGGTCAGGTAAGGTCTCAGGTCAAAGGTCAGGTGTGCTAAGGTGATGTTTGATGAGAGGGAAGTTCTATAATGTTGAGGTACAGGAACATGGTGAGAGGAGGGGCGTATGCCACACACCCTTCCTGGCTCAGGAATGATCGTCAGGATTAGTTTGATTTACTGTGTCTGTCTGTCGACCTGCAGGATACTTGGCCCTGGTGTCTACTGGTGCCACAGACGCTGGTGTGATACAGTGCCAATTAGGGTTGGCTTACAGCAGCGTCATGAGGATGGCCCTCTCATGGGCCCCCAGAGTCAAGAACCACCATCTGACGAAGGCCAGACCTCCGATGATGACGTCGACGACGATGAAGCTCACTGGGGTGATGACGGTGATGACTATGATGATGTGGATGATGAGGAGAGGAGAAAGGGAAGAAAGAGTGGAGGAGAAGGAGGAGATGGAGGAGATGGAGAAGGAAAGAGATGACAAAGAAGAGAAACAGGGGGTGAGAAAGACTTAGGAGGATGCGGAGAGGAGAGGAGGAAGGGAAAGTATGGAGGGAGACGAGTTGGGAGGACGGGACGCTCTCTAGCTTCTGTTGCGGCGCCTGTTGAATAAGGAGAACCTGTTGCGGGGTCTCTGCCCGTTGTTCCCTCTATTAGGCTCCTCCGACGGTTCCTGTGGTTGTTCTGCCTCGACGGGCGCCGCCTCTTCCACCACCCCGTCGTCGAAAACTTCTCCCTCGAGCTGATGTTGTTCTTCTGCAGGAGGAGGAGAGAATATCAGCCACGTTGTCAGTGCTAGTGACCCCCCCCAACCACACCCTGATACTTAAGTGACCACCCAACTAAACCCTGATACATAGGTGACCATCCACCACACCCTGATACTGAAGTGACCACCCAACTAAACCCTGTAAGTGACCATCCAACCACACCCTGATACTTAAGTGACCATCCAACCACACCCTGATGTGATAAGTGACCAATCGACTATGCGTCCTCACCAACCATAGACTCTACGAACATTTTTATTGGCTGGCTGTTAGAAGTGAGCAGGGCTGCTGATAGGTCAATTATCATACCATGTGACAGAGTCTTTGATAAGCTGGGGAGAGGGACCTCCACACACCTACTGTTGAGTTAAGAGGTGAATGGTGAGTATTGAGTGTCATAAACAAGAGAATGAATGAATCTTATGAGTAAATATGTTTGGTTTTAAAGAGTACTCAAGTGTGTGTGTGTGTATATGTGTGTGTGTGTGATATTTAGTCAAGTGAGAGGATTTGTTTTCAGTTTGTTTGACGTCGTCCTGGTGTGGTCGTGCTGGAGGTGTTGACAAGTCGTCTTCAAAACACGACAGCTGTGCTAAAGTTCTGGATTTAGTCGTCTTCTGTTGTTTTAGTCTTCAGCTGACTTGTGATTGGTCGGCTGGTCTATAGTAACGTCGTCTCTTTTGTTCCCTGACTGATTCGTGATTGGTCGGCTGGTGTTGACGTCATCTCGTCCTGCAGCTGGGCTTTGCCAATTGGTCAAAGTCGTCGTCCGCATTCTCGTTCAAAATGGGTGTTTGGAATAAAGACTTTGATAAATAAGGTCTATTATACAATTATATGAATAATCGTGTATGATAAAACCCACAAGGAATATTATAGTGTTGTTGTTCTTAATGTAAAGTAAGACCTATTATAGTATTACTTATTATTAGAATAAATTGTTGAGGTATTTCTGCTACTGTACGTTAACAACTGCCGTGATGGTACGAGTCGTAAACTAAACATAAATCATTAAACATAAAATATTTATCCTGGTAACATTGTCTACCTACAGCAACACTACGATGTTCATGTCTGTTTTGACCTAAGTGAAATCCTTCATATGATATTCGTTGCTGTCTTGCCTTTTTAGTTCCAATTTAAGAAACAATAAGACCAAAGCCTATCTAGAAAACTCACTAACAAATTATTAAATATCTCAGACAATAACAAGGCAACTTGTAACTGAAGTTAAGGCAACTTGTGTAGTGAGTTGCGGTGTTCTCTTAACTATATGATGAGCCAAACTGAGTTTTCATCTACTGTAACTCCAACAGATGCGACAGTACGACTCACCTGCTGGCTGTGCTTCAGCGTCTACAGGTGCGTCCTGGGCAGGGTCGGCCTCCGCCTTGGCGGCGTTTTCGTTGCGCTTCCCAGGACGGTTTCTTCTCCGGCTGAGGAGCGACGAGCTGGATTTTCTCGGTGCAGGAGCAGGTGTTGTTACCTTCTGCTTCTTGGCTGGTGCCCGAGTGCCTGCTGCGGGCTGCCGGGTGCGAAAACGGCGGTTTAAGAAGCCGCCACCACGCCTGCCGCCGCCGCCTCCTCGTCTAGGTTCCGTGGCTTCACTGGGTGTTTCTTCCTGTGCCGCTTCCTCAGGGGCGGCGGCAGCTGTGTCTTGATCAGCGACTTCTTCAACAACAAAGTCCTCAGCAGCGATATTAACTTGGGGAGTTTCTTCAGCAGGAGTCTCCGTGGCATCAGTGCGAGAACCTCCATGGTTCCTGTTGTTGTTCCTGAGGCGAGATGGACGAGCCCGATTCAGGAAGGAGGTGCGTTTTGGAGGCGGAGAACTAGCGGTGGGGGCTGCCTTGGGCCGCTCTGCACGTGCTTCTGGTTTGGACTTCTCACCCTCATCGCCGGACGGACGCCTACCTCTTGATCCTCCGATGCCGCCAAAGCGATGTCTGTTCATTGGTCTTCTACCACGGGTTACTGAAGGCTTGGTAGGGACGGGAGCGGAGGTAGTTAGATCCGCAATATTATCTGCACTCAACTCTCCACCTTCCACAGCTTGAATTTCCTCGAAGGCTTCTCCAGTAGGATCCACAGCACCTTCCTCAGGAGTGGGTTCAGTGGCGGTCACAGCTGGTGGTTCTGTCGTTCCGCGTCCTCTAAACCTGTTCCGGAGGCCGCCTCTTGAGGGTAAGTTTGGCTTGGGTCGTGATGCGGGTGCTGGCTTGCGTGTAGGTGCCTCAGTGGCTTCTGTGTCTGACTTTGTACTTCCTCGAGACCTGAAGGACCCGAAGGAGCTGATACGAGGTTTGTTAAATCTGGACCTGAAGCCGCCATTGTCTCTGGTGGCAGACGCCTCTGTAGTCGACTCCTCTAGCTCGACTCTCTTGGTCTCTGTGGTCACTTCTGGTTCTGGTTCATTCGTTTGTTGGTTCCTGAACCGGTTGCTGCCTAAACGAGTTCTGGCACCGAGTCGGCTTACTGGTCTGCTCAAGCTTGGCCGGGAGTTGGACTCCTGAGGTGGTTTTGCAGTTGTTGTGGTGACTTGAGTCCGCCTGGATCCGTCACGACCACCGAAAGTACCTGCAGAAGTCCCGCGAGACCTGAATCCAAATCGTTCCCGGCCTCTGGTTGGAGCAGCAGTGGTAGTGGGTTCTGGAGTTGTGGTGGTGGTCGTGGTAGTGGTAGTAGTAGTGGTTGTGGTACTGGTTGTGGTAGAAGTAGTTGGTTCCTCCGTGCTAGGTTCTGGTTCAGGTTCAGGTTCTGCTTGAGGTTCACTAAGTTCAGTGATGTTCTCTGGCAGGTATGAGGGGCCCTCGGTGGTTATATCTGAGTAATCATAATAGTCCACGTACTCGAAGGGGATCTCTGTGTTATAGTCCGCCGCGTCAGGGATCTGTGTGGTGGTCTCATTCGTGTCCTCGGCGTCGGCTGCCTGGGCGAGAGCGTAAAGGTTGACGATGGAAAGAGAAGTTGGTGACATGGTTGTAGTGTCAGGCATATCGGTGGTGATCTCCTCGACCAGCTCGGGCGCTGGCGTCGACACCTCCGGGGTAAACAGCCGACCACCTCGAGAAGATTGGCGTCCCCGTGTATCATGAGCCCCTGTCACCTCCGGGATAAGAGGAACATCCTCCTGTTCATCAAGACCCACGCGTGAGGATTCCTGGAAGAGTGGCTCGCGGAAACGGGAGGGCGTGGGCGTGGTGGTGCGAGGTGGGAAGCGGGTTTGGGCGGGCAGCTTGTCCTCCTCGACTGTCACGCCGTGTACAGCGTTGTTGATGGTGTTCTCCCGGCCTTGGAAACTTCCTCTGCCGCGGGATGACGATCGGCTGGACTCGAAGGTCCTCCCGCGTGCTGGGGATATCTCTTGCTCCTCGATCACATTCTCCTCCTGAGGTTCAACTACTGGCCGGCTGCTACGGAACCTGTTGCTGAAGGAGTTCCTGCCATTCTCTCTCGTGCTACTGTCTGTCCTCCTGCTATCTGTCCTGCTGTCAGTCCTCCTGCTGTCTGTCCTGCTGTCTGTCCTCCTGCTGTCTGTCCTGCTGTCTGTCCTGGTGTCTGTCCTCCTGCTGTCTGTCCTGCTGTCTGTCCTCCTGCTGTCTGTCCTGCTGTCTGTCCTCCTGCCATCTGTCCTGCTGCTGTCTGTTCTCCTACTGTCAGTCCTACTACTCTCTTCTGCTCCACTGCTCTCCTCTGTCTCGCTCCTGCTAGTTCCACGTGACCTGCTGCTCCCTCGGGCCCTGCCAAAGCCACGAGCAGTGGTAGTGGTGGTGGTGGTAGCAGTTGTAGTAGGAGGAGGTGTAGTGGTGGAAGTGGTAGTGGTAGTGGTGGTGCTGGTGGTGGTGGTGTCGGGGTCTTCGGCAGGAAGGGCGGGGTCGGCTGTGTCTGTAGCGGGGTCGGCTGTGTCTGGGGTGGGGGCCGCTGGATCTGTGGGTGAGTCCACATCGACGGCGGCGGTGTCCCCGTCGTCATACACCGGGTACTCGTCGTCGTAGTAGTAAATATACTCATACTCATACAGCTGGCCGTTCACTTCCTTGATCTCAATCTTGCTCCTGGTCTTCTGTTCCGTCTCAGAGGGGAAGAGAAGCTTCTCCTGGTTTTCGTTGGCACCCTTCCCGAAGTCAAGTTGGCTCTCGTCGAAGTACTTGCCGTAGAGGTCATTGACGGGTGGGTTCTTCTGCTCCTTCTCGCCAGCGTTCAGGATCTCAATGTTTGGTTCATCTGAGCGAGCAGCCTTGACGGAGGCCTCCGCCTCCACCGGCACCTCCGTGGCGGCTTCAGGAGCCAGGGTCGAGATCTCTTCATATACGGTCTCGGATTCAGGTTCTGGGACAGGTTCATGTTCTGAGACAGGTTCAGGTTCTGGGACAGGTTCATGTTCTGAGACAGGTTCATGTTCTGAGACAGGTTCAGGTTCTGGGACAGGTTCATGTTCTGAGACAGGTTCAGGTTCTGGGACAGTTTCAGATTCTGGGACAGTTTCGGGTTCTGGGACAGTTTCATGTTCTGGGACAGTTTCATGTTCTGGGACAGTTTCATGATCTGGGACAGGTTCAGGTTCTGAGACAGGTTCAGGTTCTGAGACAGGTTCAGGTTCTGAGACAGGTTCAGGTTCTGGAGCAGATTCATTCTTGTGAAGAGTCTCAGTGTGATGAACAAGTTCAGTGTGGTTAGCGTGGACAGCTCCCAGAGTGGAGTCAGTCAGGGGATAGGTGTCATTGAACTCTTCATAGTCGTAGTAGTAGTCGTACTCCAAGGTCTCGTTCTCGGGGTCCACGTAACTGTGCTCGACCTCACTGTGGTGGTCCACGTGCATGTTCTCGCCCTCCACCTGCTGGGTCGGGAGACTGGTTACCACGGAGATTAGAGTCTCTAACTCTGGTTCCATTCCCGTCACCTTCTTCAGGGGCGCGGGAGTCATGATCAACTCCTCCACGGGCTGCACAGTTACCAAATCGATCTCGGCCACAGCTTCATTGTAGAGGTCAGCCGTCTCGGTCACTGGTGCCTCCTCCAGGATAGGAACGACTTCGTCAGGAGTAAGGAGGATGGCGTCGAGCTCCGATTCGATGATCTGCTGGTCGGCGACAGAAGGTACATCCTCGTGGGCGACCTCGGGGATCGTCTCCACAGCTATGGCAGCTGGTCCTTCTGAGGTCTCATCGATACCCACGTACACGAGCTCTCCGTTCTCGGCTGTGATGACACTATCCGAGATAGGAGGAGATGCCTGGAAGGCCACAAATTCCTGTCCGGGGATGGGCTTGGTGAGGATCTCGGGCTCTGGTCTGTTCGCAGGAGCTTTCTCGGCGGCGTCTTCACCCGTGGCGAGGGCGACATACTCCTGGCCCAGCTGAGGGTCAATGATGACCACAGTCTCCTTCGCCTCCGGGTGAGTCTCTTCCTCCTCCACCTTCTCGGTCCGCTGTTCGTTGATCTTACTCTTCAGGGACATTGACCCTGGCCGCAGACCGAATCTCATACTCGGCCTACGTAGGGGGACCTGGGTCTCGGGGTCCTCCTCCTGTGGTGCTGGTTCAGTGGCGGAGTCTGTGGGAGACTCAGTGGTGGTGCCCGTGCGGCGGGAGAGGAGATTCGGTCGATTGCGGGCACTGAAGAGGAGGCGGCGGCGTTCATTATTAGGGTAGGCCTCGCACGAGGCCAGCGCTACCAGCAACAGCAAACTCCACCTGCAAGATGAGGAAGGTGTTAGAGGGGGAGGTGATGACGTCACGCCCTGATGTTTCCCAGCAATAATAAAGGTGTGTGTGTGTGTGTGTGACTGCTGGTCATAGTTCAGTTAATGACATAATGTTAACATTCTCACAATAACACAGAATACGGCTAGAGGGCGCCCGTCAGCCAGGCTGTGATTGGATAGAATCCATGACGTTGTGTTTCTAAAGCTGGTTGCATTAACCTACCAAACTTGACCTCCACCAAATGGTCAGGTTGTCTGACTGAGTGGTAGGCATTCATTGTAAAAATCCTTTATTGAAAGATGATCTCACGCCCATCTGGCCACTCACCGACTGTCTGATAGTTACATCAATACACAGGCCAAGACGGTGTGGTGGACGAGACATCACAGCTCCTCTGAAGACACCAGTTCGGTCCCATGGAACACCTAAACTAACCTATATAACCACACTACAACATAACTTAATCCAACTTAACCTAAACTAACCTAACCTAACCCCGCAGGTAACGTTACGGTGTTTAATCATCAGGTGTAATAAGCTGGAGGGGGGGGGGTAATGTTCAGGTGGTCCTAAGTTTTATATTCTTAAACATACACCAACACCTGACCTTAGACCTCACCAGTTTTTTATTACAGTAACACCAGGTTAGGTTAGGTTAGGTTAGGTTCACCTTCAGTAATAAATCCCTCGAGTAGCAGTTCTCGCTATAGGTCACGACAAGTCACTATACTGTACTAGGTCAGACTAATGTAGCTGTCCTAGATACGAGGGAAGCTAATCTGGTGACCTCTTCAGATGCTAGGTCAGATATCTAGTGTTACTCCTAGATACTAGTTCACTACCCTAGTAGGTACGATCTTCTAGCGATTAGATCAGCCGAGGTCACCGTAATCTTACTGTGATGACCTTACATGGTTCAGAGGACTCTTAATCGTGGTCAAAGATGGAAGTCGTGGTGGAGTGACGCAAAATATTTTAACTTTCCTCGTTAAGTCCGACGTTATTTTAAGTTAATGATGTGTTATTTTTTCTTGTTGTCAGGTGGCGTCACTTCTGAGGTGTCCTAAGACTCAAGGTACCTGGTGATTGGTGTTTATCTTTGACGTTATTGCTGGGGTGTCAAATCATATGCCTCCGCCTCTGACGTTAATATTAGACACCCAATCACGAGCCACTGCCTCTGACATCACTGTCAACACCTCTAATCACAAGCCTCCACCTCTAACGTCATTATTAGATACACAAGCCACTACTTCTGACATCAATATCAATAATCCAATCACAATTCTCCACTTCTGACGTCATGACACTCAAACAATCAATCATCAGTCAATCTATAGAGGAGAATTTTGCAACACCCAGCAGGCAGTTAAAGGAGTGTTCAGTAGCCGTTTAGTCCTGAGAGATTATCATGGCCGGCGGCGCCCAGAGAAGGTTAGCGGGCACAAGGTCGTCGTGGATTTAGCACAATATAGAGAGCGATGGAGGCGTCTGCAAAAGGCGAAAAGTCACGGACGGTCGGTCGGTCGGTCGGTGTGACGCTGCGCACCCTGACATTCTATTGTTGACCGATAACGCGCTCTCTCTCTCGCGCGCGCCCACACCCGTCTGCCAAACGATTGCCCGCTTGTCTTGTAAACGTCCGCAACCGCTCTGTTACCTGGCGAGTGTTCTGGGTTATAATTGTCTTTACTGTATTTAAATTATGAGAGAGAGAGAGAGAGAGACACATAATATATCAACAACTTCCAAGTAACTTTTTCCAGGTGTGTAAATGTCAGGTCGCTGGGGACAGGTGGTGATGCAGTGTACAGTACCATAACCTCTTGCCACCACTCTACTGTGTGACTTATGGTGATGACTGAGCCCTGCGATGGAGAGTTAGGTCCTCTCTCTCTCTCTCTCTCTCTCTCTCTCTCTCTCTCTCTCTCTCATGAATATACACATACACAAACTATGATAATATTATTTGCAGACAAATTCAGAAATATCATCAAAACTGTGTTATTATTATTATTATTATTATAGTAGTACAAGTATTTTTTTCATTTTATTCATTATTATTTGTTTGTTATACATATGCACACATCATACCAAAGTGTTGTAGCTACTCTCCAAAAAATTTATTATCTCATTCAGTTTAAAGTCCATCTGTGACGACCAGCATTATTTGTTATTTAATCAATATTGCTTTTATCTGAGGGCTGTCTTGACTCGGAAACCTTTCGTCTAGTGAAATAATTGTAGTACTGCAGTGGTAATATTCTTTGTGACAGAAACCTAAGGAATTACTATATTAAAACACATATGTAGTGAATGTCTCTAATAAGGAATATGCCAAGGTTACATATTAAATATAGTCATGGTAAGCACTCGTCGTCACCACTATCGGACGAGACTGGTCATCGCCCGCGGGAACATTTGACGGCAGGAACTTCCACCAGTTTTTATTTATACTGGGCAGGACCAGTTCACACACACCGCAATACACCGCCTATTAACTTTTTTCCATTATTAAATATGGATATTGCCTCCAAACACACACACATGCTGTCCGTTTATTGCATTATTATATATATAGGTTCTGACTCCTTGTATAAGTAACACGATCTTTTTGGTACAAACTCTAAAAAAGAAAGTACACACTCATATCTTCTCCAGGACAAACAAGGTATTCTCACCAGCTTTTTAAGGAATCCACGAAAAAACTGAACCAATAATGAAATAAAGAAACAATAACTGACAACATTACACAACTTTATCTTCATTGTTATGCGAGATGCGTTAGCGTAGTTTGTGTTTAGTATACTACACTTACTGACATGTTTATCAATGTCCTTATATATCCTGGGGAAAACAACCTCCCGTCCATTGAGAGATCGTACTGGTTCCCGCCGGTCTGAGCTGGAACACAAGACAGGTTCCTTTCACTTTCCGTCTCACAGCTCACCATCATGTATTACCCCCCGTCTGCATCAGAGTTGAAGGTGGACGGGTAACTGACAGGAGTCAAGTTGATTGTATCCACCGGAAATTGATAATATGTTTATTTCCACGAATTGAATGGCATAACTTGATTCCATTTGACATTTTAAATACAACTGGATTCAATTTCAATTTCAATTGTTTATTCCTTGATAGAAGAAGCGGGATCCTAGTGCTGTCACTAGGTACCCCTGTACAATGACACCAGAAGCATCTGGCAAGTGTGACAAGTATATACAGTATAAATATTATAAAGGGGCTTACTAAAGCCTAAGGAAGGAAGGATATTCCTTTAACACATAATCAATATTATCACAAATGGATTAACTATTATTATTGGGTTTTTTTAAGTAAACGAATTAATTTACTTCTAAGAATAAAAAAAAGTTAATTTCGTAATTCAATAAGCATTCATGTAATAAATGTTAAAATAAATAATGTATTAAAGCGGACATGACAATACTGAGTGTCGGAATTCTGATATTATGGCGCGAGTGACCACAAGCAGCCAAGGCAAAAGAAATAATGATCTGCCCTATTAAACACAAGGACCTAAAACCAGCTGTTTATTGACCTTTAACGACGACGTCCTTGGATGCCGGTGGTTAAGGGCGTAGCAGAGTTGACCTTCTCGTGATGAATTACTTCTTATGGCTTATTGAAACAACGCAATACGCCCCCCCCCCCCAGCTAGACAAATGAACGGTTATTAATCGAGCCAAAGACGCAATGGTTCTAGTTTTTCGTTTGTTCCATCTTACAAATAGTCCGTCGCTTACATTCCTCCTCTGCGGTTTGTAATTATCGTAATAATCCGTCCGTGCGTGAGTCCGTTATTCCGTTCGTGCGTTCGTTATTCCGTCTGTGCGTGGGTTCCGTTATTCCGTCCGTGCGTGCGTCCGTCAAGGAGTTTGAGAGTGACAGGCACGATACTTATCATCAAACTAGTTTATATGTCACAACAAAATGTCACTGCAGGTGGATAATGATGACTTTTATGTCACTCTTCGTCTGAGTGACGGCGGCTTTGGATCTCACTGACATCTCTGTGACGTCACCCATCAACTTAACAATCTTGTGACATCACCCATCATCTCATCAATTTCCTTATTCCTCCCTCGTTCTCCCTTCACTTCCTTCCCTCCCTTTCTCTCCCTCCCAAGTAACTCAGAGGAGAACGTGTAGACCTGATGTAACATATTCGAGGTGGCTGGAACTTTCGTCTTCACCTGTCTGTCTGTCTCTCTGTCTGTCTGTCTCTCTGTTCAGTACCTCCTCTTGTACTCAGTGGATGGTTTCTGAAAGGTTTTTGTCGCCACGTGTTTGTTTACGTGTGGGCCACCTACAGAGCAGTCTAAGTTGCCTGTTTACGTGTGGGCCACTTAGAAAACATTACAACTTATCTAACCAAGGCACACTTAAGAGAGCATTTTGTGGGTCACTTGGAGCAACAGAATCCTTACAATTATTTAAGAAGGTCCATTTACCTTTAATTATTTAGTTAAAGACCACTCAGAGAGCATTACAAGCGCTTTTATTTACACGTGGGCCACTCAGGGAGCATTACAAGCGCTTTTATTTACACGTGGGCCACTCAGGGAGCATTTTTACAGGTCAAGCACGAGGGAGTGGAGTAGAATGTAAACAACGTGTAATGGGGGAGCTCTTAACCATACTGTCCTATAATCTGTTTGGAATCATCTTGATGTAATAATTTGATCGACTAGAGATTAGTTCATTAGTAATTACAATCTAACTTAACCTAACCTAACCAAAACCCAACCTAATGTAGATAGATAGATAGATAGATAAATAAATGAGGTATATGTGAGTGAGAGAAAGAGAGAGTAACACCATATAAAGTTGCGTCACAGAGCCACACCCAAGAGGGAGTCGAGATCTCTTTTATTACCTCTCTGGAGGCTACCTAGAGGGCTGAATTTGAGGTTACTAGGTCATGCGAGGTCGGTAGGAGATAACTTAGAGGTCACCAGATCATGAGA